ATTTTTACTTAATAAAAAATACAAAAAATTAAACATTAATGTTCAAAAAAAAAAATGCCGACATGTAAAAAATAAAATAAAAAATAAACAAAAATAAAAAATTTCTAGTCCGGCAGACTATTTTTCTAATACCAAGTCCGTCCATCCGAATCCTATCTGTAAAGCCTATCCTAAGCTCTTCAGCTTAGCAATCTCTTCCTCAATTCTGTAAACAAACAGCACATTAAATGGGGCCCACAGCTATCCTAATCCCAATCCCCCTCTCATACTCCAAAACAAACGGGGCCTTAAGTTCTACTTGAATAAACGAGTTGAAAAAATTATTTGATTTGTTTGGTTTGAGTTTTTTGAATTTTTTTTTAAAAAAATTAAAATTTTTTATTTTTTGTATTTCTTTGATTTTTACTGATTTTTTTTTAATATTTTAAACAATTTTTTTAAAATTTTTTTTAAATACACCTAATATAAATACACTTAAAAAGTACAATATTTGTGAAAAAAATCTTTAAAAAATTCACTAAAAATAAAAAATATAAATAAAAAAATACGAAGATTCGGTTCATTTTTCGTATTTTTGTGTATTTATTGATTTTTTAAAATATTTTACTTTTTAGATACATTCAAGTAAAAAGTAAAAAAAATTGCTTAAAATTTTAAAAATAATCCCTAAAAATTAAAAAAAAATAAGAAAAAACAAAAAACTCAATTTTCAGAAAATTAAATTTAGAAAATTAAAACCAAACATAGTGATTTTTTTTATTTTTTTTTTAATTTGAAGAGAAAAAGTCCATAATGAACAGAGTTATTATTATTTTCTTTTACTTTGTAGATGCCTTTACAAAAGACAGATTAGAAAGTTCAAAATTTTGACATATTAAAAAAATTACTAATTATCAAAAAAAAAAAAAAAAAGACTTTTAAATATATGCCAAACAATCTTGGTTGGTAAGACTCCAGTGATATACAAACACCAATAAATATAAAATAGGAGATTTGGGAAGAAGGTTTACTCGCGGTTGGCCGGCGCAATAGGTGTGTCAATATTACTCATGTCCCTAATTTTTCTCCTATCATCCAAGGACAGGAGAGGCTGTTGTACAACCGTCACTGTTGTTCTCTTTGTGGGGCCATTTGGGTTTTATCTCAATTATTTTAATTGTTTATTTTTTAAAATTTGTCAAGTAATATATACATGTAAAAAATTAAGTTAATTAAACATTAATAACATTTTGATAAAGATCATATTTGTATTAATACTCAAAATCACAAATAGCATACCGTCTTTATATATAAGTGTATTCTAATCAAAATGTTATCAATATGTGATTAATTTGATTTATTTACAAGTATCTACTATTTAATAGATTTTAAAAAGTAAACAGCTGGAATAATTGAGATAAAATTTGGAGTGAGTCCCATTGTCCCATCATCCATACCACAAACAAAAAGGTAGGAAGCAATTACAAAAGAATTAAGACAGTTATTTAACGGCAATGATTGGTGGCCACAAATTTTGTGACTTAAATGGTCTGAAAATATCAAAACGATGTCGTTTTAGGTACAAAACAACTCTGAAAATGCCAAAACGACGTCGTTTTGACATTTTTGAGGCATTTGAGCCACAGAATTTGTAGCCACCAAACATTTTCCGTTATTTAAACATGTAAATTTAATTTAGGGAAATAAACAATGTCATATGCTTTTGTCTACACAAATTCACATTATAATATATAGGGGCAATTTGGAAAGATTGGCTTTTTAGCATTTTGGTTTTTTTCGATCACATCATCTCCTTACTTTTTTTACACAAAAAAATAAAATAAAAAAAGCTAAAAAAGGTCAAAAAATCAGTTTTTTACCATCTTCTCAAAACATCACATAGTGCCAAGTTTTCTTCAGTTTGAAATCGGATTGGAGTGTGTTGTTAGGTTTTATGGGCCCACCACGAAATCCACATCAATGATCTGAACTGTTCAATATTTAGGACTCGTCGAATACTTCATCCTTCAAAAAATTACATTGATTGAATATCAATAATCACTTGATCAGATCAAATTTGTATCAATAGTAACTATAATTTTAAAATAAATTGTTAATACAAATATGATCTAATCAAGTGACTACTAATATTCGATTGACGTGATTTTTTATAAAAATAAAATAGTCGATGAACCCTACAAATTGGTACTGTTTAGTGTAACTGTTAAAACAGATTATAGATTATAGCTTAACAGATTATAGATTATGACTTTAATCAGAAGCTGTTAATCTGTTTAGTATAGCTGTTGGATTATAGATTTAAGTTGCTGAGTAATATTTGTTAAATAATCTGTGAAATAGCTTTTACAATTAACTTTTATTTTTTATTATTCACTATTTGTCTACATTTTTCATAAAAATAATAATAATATCTTATAGTCTATGTGGGTCTTTTCTATTTTTAAAAAAATAAAAAATAAAAAATTATATGAGTATATTCGTAAATTAACATGTCCACAGCAGAAGCTGATAATCAGAAGCAATGGGTGAGCAGCTTCTCAGAATCAGTTTTTTTTGACTTAAAATAAGCTATTAGAATCAGAAGCTGTTTGAAATAAGTTTAACCAAACAATTCAAAATGACTTTTTATAAGCCAGAAGCCATAAGTTGACTCAAAAAAGTCCCACCAAACACCTCTATTGATTAGTTTAGACCATCAATATGTACCACATGGTAGCCTTGCATAGATCCAACAAAACGCTCTAGTTAGAAAAACCCAACTAGATACAAGCTAAATCTATGGGTTGACTTTTTTGCTATTTTAACCTGAAACTAAAAGGACCGTTTGGTTTCGTTTTTTTGAACTTTGCGAGAGAAAAAGTGAAATAATTTTGATTTTAATGTGATATTTTATCTTATTGATTTTTTAGCCTATTTTGTCTTTGGAAGAGGCTTCTCTTCAGTCCACATAGTGGACCAGAACATACTGTTGAACCCATGGGATTCATTACAGGTCCTGTTTCGATAATCAAAATCGTCAATATATAGAGCTCATCAAATACTTTATGCCAGCAAAATTATGTTGATCGGATATCAATAATCCCTTAATCAAAACACATTTTTGTTAACAATTTATTTTTAAAATCATATTTATCATTGACAAAAATGTGTTCCGATCAAGGAGCTACCAATATCCGACCAACGTGATATTTTATAAGCATAAAGTACTTGACGAGCTTTACACATTAAATAGTTCGGATCATCAAAACAAAACCCATGATGGACTTCACAGACCTAACAGTATAGTGAACTGGAGAGAAGCCTATCACTTTATCTTTTTGTGACTATTTAACCAAAAAATCCAAAAAAAACCCACATATCAGACAAGGGCAAAAAATAGATTAGGAGAATGACAAGTTTGTTTGGTTTGTATCTCAAGATGCAATTTTTTTTAAAAAATTCAAAATTTTGTTTAGGTCAAATTTTTTGAATTTTTTTTTTTTTAAAATCATTCCCTTCTACACATCAATCAATCATTTTTTCTCACACACACACATCTACTCAACTACAATAAAATATCAAATCATTCCAAACTCCAAAACTATGTTCAAAATATACAACTAAACAAACTAAAAAAAGTTATAAACTCTCCCGAATTTTTTTTAAAAAATTTATCTCAAACCACAAACCAAGCACACTCGACAAATTTCACAGCTTTGCTCCAACGACATATATAGAGTACACCAGGAGCATATAGCTTGTAAGGGTGGGCGTGAGTCGGTTGCGGCCACGAAACCTCCAATCCGCCATCGGTCTGCCAGATTGGCGGATTGGAGAAAATCAATCCGCATCCGTCCGCCAATCCGGCGGATGTGGATTGAGCGGATTGACGGATGGATGCAAATCGGTTTGACGGTTTGAAATTTTATAAATTTTCAACATAATTCAACTTGCGCACTTCAAAAAAAGAAAAAAAACTGTTGAGGGCGACGACTCTGCCCATTACTTAAAAAAGTATTACAATTACTGCATGTCTCATCCAAAGAAAGAAAGTTTGAAACTTTAGAATATCACAATCACTGCATGCCTCATCCATATATTACAATCACAACATAGCTCATCCACATAAAATATTACAATATGTGATTCTTAAAATATAAAAACAATGCAAACCACCAAAATCAAGAACAAAGCAATAGTAGAGATTGTATGTCTCTGTATTGTTACATTTATATATGTTTTTAAAAACAAAAACCAACCAACATATATTATATTTTCTATTTATTACTTTTAGATTTAGATTTAAAAACCAAAAAATATAAATAAATAATATGTTTATTTTTTTCAATTTAAAAAATATATTCAAGTTAAAAACTTTTTTTCAACAGAATATTTGAACTCTTTTCAATTGAAAACACAAACAAAATATTCAAACAAATTGAAAACACGAAGTCTTATAAATTTCTAAGGGTACTCGTAGTTTGGCGGTTCGGTTGCAGCCAAAAAAACCTCAAATCCGCCATCCGTCCGCCAAATTGGCGGATTGGAAAAAATCAATCCGCAACCGTCTGCTTGACATCACGCATCTGTCCAAAATGCGACAGATCGGTTCGGTTCGGTCGATTTTGACAGATCGGTACATCCACTGCTCACCCCTAATAGCTTGTTTGTGAAAAATACCCTTATATTATTTTTAAATTTTGCGACCTTTAACATAGATGTTGATTTTTTTTTATAAGATTGTTATTTTTATAATATTCTGTCATCTACTAAATAAGACCAATATTCCATAAAAAATTATTTAAAAGAAAAAATAAAATTTTACTGTTTTAATGTAAAAGCTAAACAATAAAATTTTAACTTTACCATTATCACCACTCTCATTATCACGAGTAAAAATGTTTGGATTACTCAAAATTCTTACCAAATAAATGGAATAAATTTTACCACCGAATCAAAATAGTGAATTCTATCGCCGCCACCACTAATAAACATCACAACCACCCTCAGCCCAAAAAAAATTTAACAAAGCAACTAACTATTGTTTAAATAACTCCCATTACAAGATGAGTTGCACCTATTAGACAAGTGACTTAAAAAGAGGATAACAACTACTGCTCGAATTACTTCCATTACAAGATGAGTTGCATCCACCATACAATTGACTTTCAAAACACGAATATAAGTAGTGTTAAGATGACTCCCATTCACACCCATTAATATCCATCACCACAAAGGGAAAACCATCAGAAGCACAAGCCATGGCTTCTCAATAATGCTGTCAGTGAAGACTCACCCCCGCCGTGCTCCTTCTTAGCTTTGAGCCATCCAATTATACCTTCATCAGTAGGAATACTCATTAACATCTCCCTGTTCACAGCAATGTCCATAAGTGATACACCATACTGGATGAGGGGATCAGAAGGGTCAATTCCCGAAAGAGCGTACAACTTCGCAACACAATCCCCAATCGAAACTTTTGAAATGCCTATCACGTGGTTGACAGTTATTTCCCGCCTTTGTGTCTTCAAAGATTGGATGAGATTTTCCATGCCATTTGCCAAAGCTAATGCTCCACTATTCACCCACTTCTTTCGCTTCAGAATGACTCCACCTCGCTGTTGCAATACAAAGCAAGGATAAACTATGGACTAGAGAAGCATTGCAAAATGCAGAAAAACACAAAGCAAAGTGACTTTACTTGGTTTTGTCAATCTATGAGCAAAGAAAATTAAGAAATATTTCACTATGGAGAAGAACATGATGGTAGAGGTGGCTCCAAATCCTTGCAAGACTAATTCCTTCTTACATAATGAGTCATCTCGGAAAAAAAACCCCCAAAAGACTTGCATATCTGGGTTTAGAACCACACGAGTGCATGCGCACGCACAAAAAAAAAGGTTAGGGGCAAGACCCTTGGAGCCTTGCAAAGTTAACAAACACCTACCAACCAATAACTGAGAGTCTAACTTGGCCTTTCCTCAAGCATTAGGCCTGTGTTTTCTTTTGCTTGCAGAAAGGTCCCTTGGACTCTTAAGACACCGTCCTAATTTTTTTTGGTCACAAATTGTTCTAAAACGTAATCATCAACAAATAGTATATAAGCATTAGGCCCATAAAATAGTGTCACATCTCAACAAATAAAAGCTGCACATATTTGGGCATGTGGAAATAATACACAATCTTAGAAAGCACAAACAATTTTGTTCAAGATGAAAATTTCAACAAAGTTAAAATGTTAGACAGCAAAAATATATATCAAACAAACTAGAAATAGAACACAAATTTTCTCCAAGTATAACACAAACAAGAGCTTTCATAATAGATACAAGAAACTCAACCATAAAAAATTTGCCTACAAGAAACAGAAAGAAAGAAAGAAACATACCGTCAATCTTTCACCTTTGGCAACGTCCTTGAGGGAAACAAAGCTCGGAATATAAGCAATCCCATAAAATTCTGATTTGACCCCATAAATATTTAGCATCTTAAAACGACCTGACTTAGGATTATACAGCATGAGAGCATCCTTGTTAACAAGCATCAAAACTTTCCCACTCTTTAAAATAATAATTGGCTCATAAGAGCACAAATGCCCTCTCTTACCAATCCCATTTTCAATAACCAACTCTTTGCTCCAAGACTCCTTAATCCCATAATCTTTCATTAACCATATATCGATTCGATGAGGACTAGAAAAATCACAAATGGAGAGACAATCTTGTAGCACACCCATGCGTATATGATTATGAAATTCCTTATGCAGACCAAACTCAGGAGGTTCAGGGACAACCCGAAATTGCTCACTGCCAAAATCAAAGCAACAAATGAAGTCGGGACTATCACATGCGAAATTAAGCCAATGAAGAGCTCCCTTGACGAAAGAATTGAATGAGTGATTTGTCAAATAGTAAGGAACACTCCCTATGTTTCTCCACAACCCTTCACCAATTGTGTAAATCTTTGCCTTTGCCTCATCCCGATAAGTCTCTAACTCAGTAAAGGGGTCGAAAGACTGAACGACCCTTTGAAGAAAAAACCGAATCACCTTGTATTGGTTAGTCTTGGGACTAAAACCGAGAGCATTGACAGTGCGATGATACGTAATTCCATCATATGTCGTCCATGGTAAGACAATGTAGTCACCCAGAATGGGATTGCATACGAAAATTTCAGAATCATCAAAACACAAGCACAGCAAACCATTGCAGGAGTTAACTATTTGGCGTCCAAGAAGTGGGAAGTTAATTTTGGGGTTGAGTTTCAATTGGGCTTCGCGGGGATGGATTTTATGGAGGGTTTGGAGGTCAACCAAGTGAAGTTGGTACGATCTACGGTTGCGGTAAAAGGGTTTGAGCAAGAGGCTGACTGGTGATCTTGAGAGGTGGAGATTGACGAAGTGAGGATCTGAGATTAGAGAAAGCCAGTGCTTGGAAACGAGTTGGCAAAGGAAAAGGGTTTTGATGGGGAGTCTTGAGAGTATTTCGAGGATGATTTGGGATGGCAGTTCTTTTGGGATAGAGTTTTTCTTCTTCTTGTTGTTGGGTATGCTCTGTTTCGTCATGGTGTCTTCTTGTTAAGATGGAGATTATTTGTTTCTCTTGAATGAAAGGATTAGAAAGGAGAAATGTATCTTGTTATATATATATATATTGCAATAGGGGAGGATGGGATCGAAATTTGAAACATTTGGACGGCTGTTTTTGGAGGAGCTCAGGCAGAGAGTCCCTCTCCTCTAATATTTGAACTTGTGAAAAAAATTGAGGTGAAAATTGAAATAGATCGCAGGAGGGTTAGGGATTGTGAGACCTTTTGAATGATATGGGAAAGACAGTGGAACTGACACGAGACACAAGGGATTACCCTGAAACTCGTCCAAAAAGTCAACCATTAAACTTATCTGAGAAGTTAACCATGATTTAAATAGTTTATTAATTTATTTTCGTCAAATCATCTCATTATTTTTTTTTTTTTTGATAAATTACATTTAAACCTCTTGGATTTTATATTTAATACATATCACTCTCTGACGTTTGAGAAATTATATTAATCTTTCTGTCATTGTAATTATTTAGACAGAATGAAGACATTGAACTAATGCACTCTCTCTTTTTTTACTTTGCTTTACTTTCTCTCTTTTTTTCCTTTTCATTTATTTTTTTTAATGTAATTTCTTCTGTTTTTCTACTAGGAGTTGTTAACTTTTATATCAGTAGGGGGGTTTGTGAAATGAAACTATTAACCACAGGGATGGGAATGTAATTTTCAAAACGTTAGAGGGTGAGTAATAATTAGACCAAACCTCAAGGGGTGTTAATGTAATTTACCATATTTTCTTTATTCATTTTTCCATAATAAGCAAAAATATTAACTTATAAAAACATCTACAATGCCTCATCAAACTTTTTATTAAATTTGAGTAAAAATTTGATCTAATATGATGCACTTCAACAGTTTTCATCAAATTTGCCGGTTGTTCTGCCGGTCACCCAGTGAAAAATAAATTTTCATCAAATTCATTTCAAAATCCGATTGTTCGGGAAGTTGTTCAGCCGGTTGTTCACTAACAGTTATATCCAAAATTTTATGAAATTTTAGTTTTTCCCTCATTTGATATGTGTTTGATGCCAAACATAAAATGGAACATATTTCATCAAATTTAAATCTAATGAAAAGCCTCCGTTTGGGAAGTGGGTTGGCTTTTTGGCTTTTTGATTTTTTTGGTTATTTTAGCCTGAGTTTAAAATTTTGGTTTGGGAAAGACTTTTTGGCTTTTTTGAGTTTTTTTGTGAGAGAAGAATGTAATGATTATGAGTTGGATGTGATGTTTTGTTTGTTATGGCTAAAATAACCTATTTTGTTTTTTGTAGCTAAAATAGCCAAAAAAACCTGCAAACCCACTTGCCACCTCCGTTTGGGAAGTGGGTTAGCTTTTTGACTTTTTGACTTTTTTGTCTATTTTAGCCTGGGCTAAAAAGTTTGGTTTGGGAAGGATTTTTTGACTTTTTGAATTTTTTGACTTTTTTTTTGAGAGAATAGTATAATGATTATGGATTGGATGTGATGTTTTGTTTGTCGTGGCTAAAATAGCATATTTTGTCTTTTGTGGCTATTTTAACCCCAACCTTGCTTGCCAAACGGACCCTAAAAAACCTATTTTGTTTTTTTATGACTAAAATAGCTCCTATCCAACCCAACACAAACCTTCATGCCAAACATAGCCATAATATGAGTATGTAGTAGTATTTAGCCTTCATTTAGCATGTAGTTTTTTTGGACTTTTTGGCTAAAATAGCCACAAAAAGACAAAATAGATTAAAAAGTTAATAAGACAAAATGTCATATCTAAACCATAATAATTTTATTTTTTCTCTCACAAAAGTCAAAAAAGCCAAAAAACTTTTTCCAAATGAAGTTTTTTAGTCCTGGATTAAAATAGCAAAAAAAGTTAAAAAACTAAAAAGCTGACCCATATCCCAAATGAAGCCTTAAGGGAAATTGTATGGTATACACTCCTTCTAGACTATATATCATATGCACCTTTGATTATAACTTTTGAGTTAACAGTTATGATGCATTAGTTATGACCAAATTTTGGTTATCATCCCAGAGTTGTTTGATTATACAACATGTGATTTTTAGTTATAACTCAATTTTTTTTAATTATGACTCTCATAATACTGAGTTATTTTATTTGTAATAACCAAACTTATAAATAACATACCTTACATATAGTAGACACCATAGGAGGATGTGTACCTTCGCTTGATAAAATTAATTTGTCACAGTAATTTTTAAAAAATTAAAAATATATATATTTTTAAACAAAACAATTAAAAAAAATTTCCAACCAAATATACAACCAAAAGTAATATTAAAGCACTAGCTGAATATTTTTATTAACAAATGATAGTATTTTTTAAAATATTTTAAATAACAAAATAATTTCTAAATTTTTTTAATTTCTTAAATAAAAAAATTTATTTCTTTCAATAATTATGTTTTGTGAATTGAATTTTAAAACGGGTTTGATTATGAGTTTTAAAAAAAAATTCAATAGAGTTTTGAGTTGTGTGTTTGGTTATGCGTTATAAGTTTTTGAATTAAGTTTTGAAAACTCTTTTCAAAACTCATAGTCAAATAACTTTTCAAAAACTCAACACTCATTTTAAAAATTCAATACTCAATTCAAAATTCAATTCAAAACTCTTTTCAAAACAAATTGGAAAGGAAGTTTTTTGATTTTTTTTTTACTAAAAGACAAATTGGTTACAAAATCAAAAAAAAAACTAATCAAAACAAAATATCACATCAAACCCCATAATCATTTCACTTTTTCTCTCACAAACATCACATCCAACCACAAAAAAATCCAATTATCTTCGCAAACACAAAAAAAAAATATCCAATAATATCCTACAACTAAAAAAACCTACTTCTCAAACACCCACATAATTTTAAAACTCACAAACTCAAAATATAACTTCACATTCAAATCATAATTCTAAACACAATCCAAACGCTACCTTGAATTTTTTAAATTAAAAAATTGTTTGATAAAAATTTATTTTTAAATGGTAGAATATTTGAAAATTATTGGCTCCGTTTGGTTTATTTTTAAAATTATGATTTGAATGTGAAGTTATGTTTTGAGTTTTGAGTTTTTGAATCATGATTTGAAAAGAAAAATTTTGTTTAATTATGTGTTTTGAAAATAGTTTTAAGATGATTTGTACTTTTTTTTGATTGATTGATGTACAGAATGTGAGAGGAGAGAAGGGAGATGGGAAGGAAAAAGTGATTGATTGATTGATTAATAATAAAAATAAAAATAAAAAGAGAAGAAAGGAGTTTTGAAAGTAATTTTGAATTGTATTTAAAATTTTGTTTGATTATAAATTTTGATTCAAATCACAATTTGAAAACAAAATTGAGTTTTGAAAATTAAACCAAACGCTACCATTATTTTTGAATTTTATATTCGGATAGTGAGTGATGGTGGTGGTGATGGTAGCAATGGAAACAACAATGATGCCTATAATATCAATGCCAATGGTGGTAGAGATAGAGACAGTGATTCTGATCACTACTATAAAAACAGTTAAAGATCACACTTTAAGAAATGAAAATATCTCACTTTTATTAGAAGTATAATAAAAAAAAATTAGATTAATATTTTAATCACACTTAATATAATTAAGTGTGATAATATTTATTTTTAATTTTACTTTCTAAATAAATATAATTATATATATATATATATATTTTAATATCACATTTTAAGTGTGATTATATATAATTTTTTTAATCACAATTCATAAGTAAGCGTGATCAAAAGTTTTTGAGGGAATATTTAAAGCCTAATTTTATTTTGTGTTTAGTTTTTTATTTTTATTATTATTATTATTATTATTATTATTTCTCTGTGTGTGTGTATCGAATGATACATACATACACCAAAGAAATACCAATCAACAGTCTCTCGCTCTCGCTCTCACTCTCACTCTCCTTTAATCGATTAACCATCGGCCACCGTCGCTCACCGTCTCATCGCCACGATCGGTATACGGTCTCAGGCCCATTGATTTTGAATCAGGTTTTTTTTGTTTCTCTCTCTCTCTCCCTCTCTCTCCATTCCTCTATTTCCTTATTTGGCTCTAGCTCTAGGATTTGTTTGTTTTTGTGTTTTGATGTTGTATGGGTTTGATTTATGGGAAACGGGTAAATGGGTTATGATTTTTGATCTACATTTATGCTGTATTTGGTTGGGGGATTTGGAGAGGGATTTGGAAAGAGAAAGAGAAAAGATGTGTGAAACTATGTGAAATATAGGCATGATTTATTCACATTTCACCTACCTTTTCCATTTCTCTTTCCAAATTCCTCCCCAAATCTTTCAACCAAACATAGGGTTTTTTTCCCCTCTTCTTTTGATACAAAGGCTTTCAAGACCCAATCAAGTTTTTGTGGTTAAAATGATACATGGCTGAGATCATTTACACTTTTGGAGTATTGGGTACCTGCAGATTGGTGTTATACTGCTTCCTTCTCGTGCTTGGGCTTTTTTGTCTTTCTTTTGGTAGAATTTCTAAAATGGATTTCTCTGTATGTTTGTGGTGGGCAGAAACCAAATTGATCTGGGTTATATATTGGTTAGTTGTTTGAATTTTTCGGTTGATTGTGTTGAGATGTTGGGAAATTTGGTTTCTGGGAGTCTCAGTTTTCAGGCATGCTGAATTTGAGGTTTTTGTTGGCTTTCTTGGAATGAGTCGTTAGAAGGTTTTCTTATTGTTTAGATTTCGACTTTCTTCTTGACCATTCATGTTTTCCCTGAGACTTGTTTGCATGTTTGTTTGATTACTCAGGAACGGAAATTAGTTAGGATATATGAGTCTTTCAGTTATGGCAAAGTGCGCCCCTTAAAGAATTAATCTTATTAAAACATTTGGCTCATTTGATAACACCATTAAGTGCTTAAATGTGGAAATTTTCAGTGGATCTTCTATTAAGTTAGTTTGATAAAGCATGATAAATCACCATTTAAAAGTAAGAACCCATGTTAAAAGGAATCCAAGTTTTATGTCATAGAGATGTAACTCAGCACATAATGCTTAACATGATTACTCAGTGGTGGTTTTACGATCTTAATAAAATTATATTTGAATTTCTATTGTTACTAATTATAAACAACAAAGTCACCTTCTACATGATGAGAACTTTTACGTAATTTTATATATTTAATCCCAACTAACGAATACCGTCGTACCACTCACAAACAAACACAATCTATCTTACATTTCTAACTTAATACCACTACACTAGTAATCTCCTCATTTAATTTCACCGTACTAATAATCTCATCCAACCAAGTTCGGTAAACAAATGGGGCAAGGTAGAAATAGCGTCAATAAACTAAACAAAGTTCATTATTGAGACGTAGGGGTAGAGGTGCTTTTCGCTTCTGTTTTCAATAACTTGCAAGAAGCTGAACCAAACAAGCCCTTAGTTTGGTTTAGCTTAATTAGTTGGAAGAAAATAGAAATTGAAAATTTTGTGATGTCATTAACGGATTGTAATTTTGTTTGGTTGGAAAAAATTGTGTATGAGCCAAAAAGTTTGATGTTCAGTTCATTAAGTTTAAATCGTAATTCTGGCTGAGGTGAGGGCTCTTTGTTCTTACTGCAGAAACTCATTGAGGTGTCACTGCGGCAGCAAGAAAAATTGCAGAGCATGTCTGTTTATGTTCCTTCCCATTTGCCTGAAAGAATGACTGTTATAAATCAGGAATCCAGTAAATGGAAATTCTATTTGTGTTCTTTTTATTGATATCTGGTTGGTCCTCTTTTCATTCTTATTTTATGGGTTTCAATTTGCTACCAGAAACAGCAAAACAAGAAATTGGTATCCAGTCATTGAATTTTGAGGAGCCTGCAGTATTACCCAAAGTAAAAATCTCTCTCTCAGACAGAGACACACACGAACACATTGTTACTCAGAGAAAATGGATGCATCACCTGAAAGTAGTAAAAGATTTTGAGGTGAATAGAAGTCTGCAATTTTGCATACCAAAATCAAGTGGAATCCATATAACTGTATTCTCTGTTCAACTGTATTCTTATATGTGTTGGGATTTTGTATCCACGTGACACAAATAAAACCATATATGGCATGAACAGAGATTTACACACAAAATTCTTTGGTGAGGAAGCAAAATTAATTAAGAGAAATGATGATGTATTATTTCTCAAGCATTTAGAGTAATTTGGTTTATTTCAATGATTTGGGATTTGGATACAAGGACTGTCTCATTAAGGGAAAACATGTTCCAGACCCAGCATATGAATGAAAGGGAGTAAACCCAAAAGCAAGCTTCAAGGAAAGAATCGTGTTCTTTTTCACCTTCTTGGGGTTTACATTTCTATGAATCTGGCTAGAGAGGATAAACTAATGAGTTTATATGTTGTTCAAGACTGTTATGTCCCCATTGTGTCGATTTGGTTCACAAAATTAATTGCACTTGTTAGGCCTTCATATTGTTCATGATGTCATCTCTTCATATTGTCATAGCATCATGTCAGCAGTTATGCTTGAGATTTTGAGGTACTGAAGGTCATGGTTTGCTGCCTAGAGGTCCCTTACTCAAACAACAGAGATGATTAAGGAATGCTCATCACATCCCCAACCCTAAAATGATGCAGTAGTGGCAGTTCTGAATTTAAAATCAACATTAGTTATTCTTTGTCTTATGATGATAAGAAACTAATAAGTTTTATCAGCCTGTGTCTGAAATATATATATATATATATAAATAGTATTGCTTCTGTGTTTTTTTTCTTAATTCTATAGAACTTATGACACTTGCCAAATTCTAAATCAGAGATATTTAGACCATTGGATACTCATTGATGTCTAATGGCACCACAGCCTGATCGCCAATGATCATATGTGCATTCTTCTTGAGTGACTGAATGAGCTACATTTTATTATAATTCTTATATCTATAATCCTTTCCCTTTTAATTGTTTGTGGATGAGGTAATTGCTGATGTTAGTTATGAACATATTTTGTTGAGGTGATTGGATTGCAGCTACATAAATTACTGATTCTTATCTAATGGGAATTTTTTTCCCCTCCATTGTAATTTGATTCTTGAAGCCGTCAAGTTGTAGGATGGCCTCCTTTAACAGCTCATAGGATAAACAACATGGTGAACCAAACAAAATTACCCGCCACCGAAGAATTTCAGTCCACACTAGAGAAAACTAAAAGCAAGAATGGTGTGGTAGATATGACTAACAGTGGCATCCTTGAGAACAAGAACAATGTGAAGGAGAAAAGGGAGCTGAAGACTTCACTGTTTGTGAAGTTGAATATGGATGGAATTCCAATTGAAAGGAAGGTGGATTTGAATGCTCATAACTACTATGAAACCTTAGCACAAACATTGGAGGATGTGTTGTGTAGACCCACCACAACTATCAGTGTGAGACGTGAGTTGTTCTTCTCCTTTCTATTTTGACATGAATATTTTCTTCTAATTTTTTTTTTCTTCTCTCGATACATTTGCTCATTGAATCCAAATCACCTCCAGTCCACTCCCCCTCAACAAGCCCATGAGAAACAAATAAACAATAAAGTAATGGAAAGATTAATGAGCTATTGGATGTTTAATTTATGGCTTCAAAAGCTTGTTTATTCAGAATTAATTTGCAGGAGGATAGATTAATAGATTCTACTATTTTCATGGTCAAGCCAATCCAAATGTGACTCTTAGCATGCCACTAGCTTTGCTAGTTCTAGTAGTTGGGTAGTTAATTCTCTACAGTTCACTAATGATCAGAAAACCGTTTGATTTTCTTGCATTTGCATATGGGCAAAGATTAAGGCCAAGTTTGGCATCTACTAAATAATACAAAAAGTCAAAAAGTTACTATCCTATTTAAGTTGCATCACCTTATTTAAATCACATCACCTCTCTAACACATCACATTAAACCCAACCCAAACCCAACCCATATAAGCCAATAAGTCAAAAAGTGCACTTTTTTAGAACATCCCAAACCAACTCTAAGTTTAAAACTATATTTATGACTTCGTATTAAATAGGATGAAGCTGGTCAAGTTTAAATTTTTTTTGGAATTGGTACTCAGTTTGTGGTCGATGTAGAATGTTAATCCTTTTGAAGTACTGTTTGGGTCTTGGTTTTGAGTTTTTGACATGATAAACTATGGTGTTTAGCTAGTATTTATGCAGACTTTGTGTATTCATCTCATGAATGATAGAACGACAATATCTTTATGATTAGGACCAAGCATGAAAGAGCATAATATAAGGACAGAAGCAACAGGACCTCCCTCAAAGTTATTGGACGGATCATCTGAGTTTGTGCTCACCTATGAAGACAGAGATGGAGATTGGATGCTTGCTGGCGATGTTCCTTTGGGGTATGTACCTTCTGCGCATTTGCAACATACAAACATATTGCTTGATAACAACATACGATTTGACTGTTAATCCTATCAAATTTATATTCCTGCGTTTGGATCACACAAATGGCATTTGGCTTATTAATACGTAGGACTCTTAATCCTACAAAATTACAGCGTATTGAATACCAAAGGAGGGTAGGTATTACCAATCCTACACATGATTATCCCATGAGATTATTAATCCTGTGAGATTGTTAATCACATCACTAATACTCAAACTAATCAAATAGGGCCTTAAGTCTCTAAGGCCATGTTTGATTCACAACACTAATAGTGAGGTATTAATAATCCTATCAAATTAGTGTGGTATTAACTATCCCACCCCTACCCCATTATTAATAATCCTACAAATTTGTTGGATTAATTATCCATTGGATTAATAATCCTAAACCAAAATGTCAAAACAAACATAGGATAATTGGGCCCACGGATTAATAATCCCAATCCCATGCTTTAATCCTTCCAATCAAACATGCCCTAAAAGTCTTAATTGCTCACCAGTGAAAGAAGCTTAAATTACTTTTTGATGGGGTTAGCCAACTATATTTGGTAATGCAAACAAGAAAGCAGGGAGTATGTTGAAAATGGAAGCTATCCTATGTGGATACCTAGTTAGCCATCTATTACTTGATTTATGCATACAAATGAAGCTATTTCTGGTTAAGTTAAAATGGAGACTCTAAAAATTATGGATGCATGATCTGCACAAAAGATTAGAAGTTAGAACTTTGGGTCCAAATATACATTAAATTGGTTGAATCCATTCGTTCTTTAAATTGCTAATAAACAATTTCTTTGGTTGGTAAGGAATATATAATTATTTCAAGATTGCATTTTGTATTTGATAAATCCAAATCCAGTAACCTTTTGTTATTTCATAATTGGAGAGTGAACCAATTATGCAGTTCTTTTTTCTTTTATTTGTTTATTTTTAATTTCAAATTAGTTGGATTATGAATCAATGGAGTCAAGTTAAGTTGAGTTTTTGTTTGCCAGAAACACTCTGTTTAGAGTGATTTGAGTTGAGAAAAAGAGAGGGGGGGGGGGGGGGGGGGTGTTATATAATTTTGGTTTGTTGATTCTATATATATTTGGTTTTATGACTTTAAAATATCTGGCCATATATTGAAAAATTTTATTTTGGATTATTGATTCTATGTATGTCATATTTATATATGGTAATATAAACATTTTATACTAGTAACAATCAAAGTCGTTATTCCTTTTCTATTGATACATGGGATGAAGAGTCAATGTGATGAGAAAATGTCCGATTTTGTCTTTTGTAAGACAAGCACAGTCTCTACAAAAATAGTAAGTTTATTCATATGCTTCTAGCCACTTATGAATTAATTTGTATTTTTATTTTTCAGGTCAGAAATTTTCTGGAGAGATGCAAAATATGGTCAAAGAATTTAAGAACTTAGTTTTTTCATTTTTTTAATATATATAATAACAGTTAAAATTTTTTTATTAATTCCTTTGTATATACTTTTGAGCATTTAACTTTCATTTATGAAATATGTGACGTTATTCCATTCAATATATGGTTGTGATTCAAAATATAGTATATAGTGTGTATTACATTCTTCAAATGCGCGTTCAAAAATAATATTGATTATTTTTCAAATATGTCGAATTCTTTTTCTTTTTTTTTTATCACAGGTTTTATTAGTTATTAATCACACTTAAAAGATGTGATCTAAATGTTTTTAATCACACTTAAAAGGTGTGATCTAAATATTTTTAATCACACTTAAAAGATGTGATGAAAGCATTTTTTAATGACACTTAAAAAGTATGATTAAAAATGACCATTTTTAATCACACTCCTAATGACCACACTTTAATAAAACAAGGTGTAATTAAAAAACATACATCACACCAAAAAAGTGTGATCTTTATCTATGCCACCCATGTTTGAACTCCCGATTCTCGAATTTGGGGACTTCATCTACATATTCCGTGTAGGCGGCGCTTTTTCCTACCTCAAATGCCACAGTGTAGTAGTGGGTGATAGTGGAGAGATAATATAGTGGAAATAAAATAATGGTGGCGACAGTGGTGTAATGATAATAGTTATTGTAGTAGTAGAATGATAGTGGTGATTATGGCAATGGTGACAATGGTTGTTGAAGTGAGGTTGTAGTGGTTGTCGTTGTGAGGGGTGGTAATACAGTGGTGACTATGGTTGGGCTAGTGAAATAATAGTGATTCTTATAATAACAATGATGATGGTGATGAAGTGGTTGTGAAAGGGTGGTGGCGGTAGCGATGGTAGTGATAGTAGTGGTGATGGCAATGGAGACAGTAATGGTAGTGGTAGCAGTAGTAGCAGCAGTATTGGTAAGTGACTTGATTAATTTTCACTTAATGCATTTAATTTTAAATACCACAATATACTTGACATTTATTTTGAGCACATAGAACTTGTTTGGGAAGAACATTGGAGCTAAAATAGTTATATAAGACAAAATAGATTATTTTAGTCAAATAGGATAAAATGTCACATCCAATCCATAATCATTTTATTTTCTCTCACAAAAGTCAAAAAAATCAAAAAACCTATCCCAAATGAGAATTTTTAACCTAAGTTAAAATAATCAAAAACAAAAAAAATAAAAAAAACTAAGGGCTTGTTTGGTTTGTATTTGAGAAACATGTTTTGTGATAAAAGTACGAAAATTTGTTTGGTTTGGTTTTTTTCAAAAGATGTTTTGAAAAATTATTTTGAGAAAGAGTTTTGGAAAAAGTGATTGATTTGATGTGTATGAGAGAGAGATTTCTTTGAAAAACTTGTAAACCAAACAAGTTTTGGAAAAAAAATTTGAAAAAATTTGTTTGGTTTAATTACTTTTGAAAACTTATTTGTAGAGAATTTTTCTTAAAATTTTTTGAGAAACACAAACCAAGCAAGGCCTAACTCACATCTCAAACGAGCTCATAATGTGTTTTTATGAGTATTTTTCTAGTTGAATTTTCTAGACCCCAATAGCACTATAGAAGAAGAAATTGAATCATTTCCATCGTGAGAGGGTAGGAGCATACCTTTTTAAGTGATTGTTGAAAAAAAAAATGGTTTAATTTTGGGATCATAATTCTAATTAAAAAATTTCAAAACACATAACTAAACATTCAATTTAAAACTTCTTTTCAAACTTAAAATCTTTTCAAAACTCTGATTTTTAAATTAAAAAAAAAATATTCAAAAAAATATTTTTTTATTTTGTTCTGTAAAATTATTTTAGAATTTTGGATTTGTTGATTCTATATATATTTGGTTTTATGATTTTAAAATATCTGGCCATATATTGAAAATTTTCATTTTGGATTATTGATTCTATGTATGTCATATTTATATATGGTAATACAAACATTTTATACTAGTAACAATCAAAGTCGTTATTCTTTCTCTATTGATACAGGGGATGAAGAGTCAATGTGATGAGAAAATGTCCGATTTTGTCTTTTGTAAGACAAGCATAGTCTCTACAAAAATAGTAAGTTTATTCATAAGTTTCTAGCCACTTATGAATTAATTTGTATTTTTATTTTTCAGGTCATAAATTTCTTGGAGAGATGCAAAATATGGTCAAAGAATTTAAGAACTTAGTTTTTTCATTTTTTTAATATATATAATAACAGTTAAAAACTTTTTATTAATTCCTTTGTATATACTTTTGAACATTTAACTTTCATTTATGAAATATGTGACGTTATTCCATTCAATATATGGTTGTAATTCAAAATATAGTATATAGTATGTATTACATTCTTCAAATACGCGTTCAAAAATAATATTGATTATTTTTCAAATATGTCGAATTCTTTTTCTTTCTTTTTTTATCACAGGTTTTATTAGTTATTAATCACACTTAAAAGATGTGATCTAAATGTTTTTAATCACACTTAAAAGGTGTGATCTAAATATTATTAATTACACTTAAAAGATGTAATGAAATCATTTTTTAATGACACTTAAAAAGTGTAATTAAAAATGGCCCATTTTAATCACACTCTCAAAGACCATACTTTAATAAAATTTAAAAGATGCGATTAAAAAATATACATCACACAAAAAAAGTGTGATTTTTATCTGTATTTGTAGTAGTGGGTGATAGTGGAGAGATAATATAGTGGAAATAAAATAATGGTGGCGACAGTGGTGTAATGATAATAGTTATTGTAGTAGTTGAATGATAGTGGTGATTATGACAATAGTGACAATGGTTGTTGAAGTGAAAGGTTGTAGTGGTTGTCGTTGTGAGGGGGTGGTAGTGGCGACTATAGTTGGGCTAGTGAAATAATAGTGATTCTTATAATAACAATGATGATGGTGATGAAGTGGTTGTGAAAGGGTGGTGGCAGTAGCGATGGTAGTGATAGTAGTGGTGATGGCAATGGAGACAATAATGATAGTGGTAGCAGTAGTAGCAGCAGTATTGGTAAGTGACTTGATTAATTTTCACTTAATGCATATAATTTTAAATACCACAATATACTTAACATTTATTTTGAGCACATAGAGCTTGTTTGGGAAGAACATTGGAGCTAAAATAGTTATATAAGACAAAATAGGCTATTTTAGTCAAATAGGATAAAATGTCACATCCAATCCATAATCATTTTATTTTTTTTTTCAAAAAAGTCAAAAAAATCAAAAAACTTATTCCATACGAGAACTTTTAAGGAAAATTTACCAATAAATCCCATTTCACAAACTACTAAACCAATTAGTCCCAACTTTATTCTTTTGTTCGGATAAGTCCTATCAGTGGGGAAGTTTATTTCTTGTTGATCCTATTTTTCATATTTAGTGTAACTGTGTGGACGATTTTACCCATTATTGTTTTGTTTCCATATACTGTTGGGGCCATCAATGTGATCCCTCACTTCACCATCACTTCACCATCTCCCACATTATAACTCTTCCCCCCTTCTGTTGCAAGCCCACCCGTGCTTCTCTCTCTCTGAAATTTCGTTCCCTCCAAACCCTTCCACACAACAAAAAGAGTAAAATCGATCTCCTTCCAACTCACCATCAACACCGACAAAGCAACGATCACGAACGCGAAGTTCCACAAAGATCCAGAATCACGATCGGCTTCGAGTACGCCCAATCGCTCTGCTTTTCTTCGATCTTGCTCCGCGTCGCCTCTCTTACCCTCAACTTCGGCCTCGGCATCATTCTCCGACTACCGCAGAGGCTCGGCGGGCAGCGCCGAACCGGCGGCTCAGGAAATCTGATCGGTCAAGCAATGGCGTCGCATCAATTAGCTATTGTGTGTGTGTGTGTCTGCCCCTCGTAATGTATGTGTGTATCGTGTGTGTGTGTGTATCTGTGTGTG